TAGTATGTGATATGTGAGGACCAAGTCGCCCAAAAGTTGCCTGTAATATATGGAAAACATATCCAGTTTATGTAGTCTCTCAGGTCACATCAGGTCCTTTAACCCATGCACCATTTTCATCTAATACCGCAGGACCTGTTCAACTGCCATCCTTTCACGAACGAGGCATCAGGGACAAGCCCGTACACAGTATTCCAAGTGCGACCTTAAAAAAGTAGAAAATAGTCTGATGACCATCTCAGCTGTCGTGAGTCCGAATGGCTTGTGAGTCCTCACCAGCATGATGAATGCTTTGAGAGCAGCTGCCGTCCAATGTTCACTGGACTTAAAGTCAGGTGGCAGCAAGATTCATAGGTCAGTTTGGAGTGGCGCCCGCGGAACTACGTTGCCACTAAGCAAAGGGCACATTCCCAGTCTATCCAGAGCTCTTTGTAGGGCCAGCGGACCACTCGGATCGTTTATGGTGAACCAGAATTTTAATTCATTCGCAAACAGGGATGGCACTCCCAGCTCACCAGGTAAGTCATTAACGTAGAAAGTGAAGACAAGGGGACCAAGGACTGAATCTTGCGGGACCTCACTGAGAACGCATTGTCGGAACTCGCACGAACGCACAATTCCTTCAGATTAGGAGATGAAATCCATTGTAAGATAAGTCCAGAAATACCGTAGGATTGCGGCTTGTACAAAAGGTGCGAATGCAGAAAGGGGTCAAAAGCTTTGAAAAAATCAATGAACATAAAGCCCTTTACCTTCCGTCACTCGACAGCTTCGGCCCAATGTTTACGAGCCACTAACAAGTAATTAAGGCAGGAGTAGCCTTCACGAAAGCCGTGTTAAGAGAGTTTGAGCAATCCAACACTTGTAAATGCCCTTCGAGAGCGTCCCTCACAAGTTTTTTCAGCAACCTGAGCACCACGAGGGTCAAACCGACCAGCCATCGCAATGAGGCTGGACCTTACCGTAGTGCGATGGTTTGTGTCCCTCAGTGATCCGTTGAACTGGGTGGTGTTTTTGCACCTTCAGAGCCACTCATCCCAAACTGGTCAATGGTTAGAGGTCAGACAAACTCAGCCTCCTGGTCCTCCAGGTTGGGGGTTGGAATGAGGGTGGCTCCTTATTCCTTAAAACGGACTCCTTGTAGCCAAACGCCAAACCCTCCCCCTTGCAATCAGGTTTTTGAACCAAAGGCCTTGGTTGAGAACCCTAATCGTTCTCCTGTCCAGGCCTGGACAACCTGACAGTATCCTGCCCACGCCATACAATGAATTTCTCTGCAAACAGTTTCTTGATGCTCTGGCCACCGCAGAAGAAAATCGACGGTGCCCTATCTGCTGCATCGGGCAGGGTGGATAGGCGTTTGGATGTTACTGATCAAGCCTTCCCGTCTTCTTATTCCCCCTCTTATGTTTTTCCACTTTTACTGTCCCGCTCCAACCTCACTTTTATCCTCCCCAGTTTTCAACCCTCCGATTAATGGTCCTCCCCCGACATGCTTTGCTAGGCATTTATCTTCTAATTTTAACTCAAATGTGAACGCGGAGCGTCACTCCTCTGCTGTCGACCAGACCATATCCAACCAAGCGGCCAAGCCCAGTTCATCGACTTCTATTTGGAGCCCTCGATCATCCTTCAGGTTGGCATGCCTCAGTGTACGCACATTGCTGCAAATCGGTTAACAGGCCGCACTTTCCTGAACATTAGAAACCCTGTCGATCGATATCTACTGCTTATCGGAGACCCGTCTGCATGACTCGAGCTCTGTGCTCACTCTGCGATCCCCTTCAGGTGACGCAAGCAGTACTTTCTCAGTGCGCCTATCCGGTGACGATGGAGCTTCGAGCACCGGCCAAGCTGGTGTTGGCATTGCCCTGAGTCCCCGGGCTGAAGCTGCTCTGGTTGATAGGATTCCAATCAGTAGCCGGATGTGTAGGGTCCGATTGGCTGGCTCGTTCAAAACTTTGAAGTCGCGCGAAACTAATAGGTGTCTATTCATCATCGCTGCCTACGCGCCCACAAACTGTAGCGAGGATTCGGTAAAGAACGACTTTTACCGCCAACTAACCCAGCTCCTTCGCCACAGAAGAAGCACAGATACTGTTGTGCTGGCTGGGGATCTGAACGCGCAAGTTGGAAAGTTGTCCACTGATGAACTGCATCTGGACGGTCAACACGGTGTAGGCTCCCGTAATGATAACGGTGAGCGGTTACTTCATTTGTGTGAAGATGCTCGCTTATTTCTTGCTAGAAATAACTTCCGACACAGCACCCGCCGAAGGGTGACTTGGCGCCAACCAGCCTTGCACGCAAATCGGTCACATTGCGATAAGTTACCGATGGAGAGGCTGCATCCAGAATTGTCGCTCGATTTGGAGCACATGTGTGGACACCGATCATGCACTTGTATGTGCTGACATGCGGATGCGCTTTGGCGGACGCCCACGACGACACTGTGAGCGCATTGACACCAGCCAACTGACAAAGCCAGCTGTTCTGAATGCGTATCAAAGTACGCTGACATGCGAGTTGAGTAATCGCTCACTGGAGACAATTGATGGTTACTGGTCACATGTTCGCCAGACCTTACTAGCAGCGGGCAACTCCTCATGTGGTATGTCTAATAGCCAACATGGTTATTGGGTCTCGTCGCAGTCGCTGGAACTTAACGATGCTCGCCGGCATATCCCGGCTGGAAGCGAACACAATGAAACTCGCAGAGAGCTCCGGGCCAGACTTCGTGTCAGCCTGAAGAGAGACCGCGAATCTTGGTGGTCTCATCGTGCGTCAGAGATGGAAGTGGCCGCTACCCTTGGCAACCATCGTAAGTTATTCCGTCTGATACAGGAAACGGGCAGCAGGTGACCTGGTGTTAGTGAAACTATACGTGACGAGAGTGGACAGCCTATCCACAATTTGTCAAAACGTTTGGAGCGTTGAGCTGAGCATTTTGAAAAGCAATTTAATCGGCTAGAATTGTTCGATTCTTCGCCGGCCAGTGATCGTCCTGATCCGTGGGCTGTCCCTTCGGATCCACCCTCTAGCTCAGAAGTCGAATGTGAGATCGGACTGTTGAAGTTGAACAAAGCTGCGGGACCAGATGATCTTCCTCCAGCCCTCTTCAAATTCGGAGGCTCTGCTCTTGCTGATGCTTTACATGAATTGCTGGTGAAACTGTGGGAGAAAGAGACTGTCCCAACCGACTGGAGCCGCTCCGTTATTGTTCCCATCTTCAAAGGAGGCTCGCATTCGGAATGCGGCAACCATAGAGGAATCAGTCTGATCTCCATCGCCTCCAAATTACTCGCCTCCATAATTCTTAACAGACTGACTGGCGCTCGTGAAAGCCACATTCGTGAGGAACAAGCCGGGTTTCGTCGAAATCGAGGCAACATCGACCACATCTTCACCTTGTGTCCGTTGTTGGAGCACCGTCACACATATTGGTGGCCCACAGTAATCGTGTTTCTCGACATCAAAGGTGCCTTCGATTCGGTTGATCATTGTGCCCTTTCGAATTGTCTACTCAGGAAATGTGTGCCCGAGAAATATGTAAATATTATCCGAGCATTATACACGCGCAGCACGGGCAGAGTGAGAGCTTACGGCAACCTGTCGCCATCCTTCAGTATCTCCAGCGGTGTGAGACAAGGATGCCTGCTGTCACCTTTCCTTCTCAACTTCGCTATTGACGAAGTCATGAAGTCTGCATTTACAGGACATGACTTGGAAGGTGTGGACCTACTCCCAGGAGAACGACTTCTTGACTTGGAGTATGCAGACGACATTGCCCTCATCTGTGACAGCTCTCAGACGGGCCAAGCTGCGCTGGACAGATTAGCACTGGCTGTCAGCCGCTTCGGACTTTCCTTTGCACCATCGAACTAGAAAGCTTTCCTCCAAGATTGGCAGGCATCGCCTCCTGACCTGACCCTTGGTGGGGATCAGCTAGAAGTCGTTTGGAAATTCGCCTACCTGGGATATATATATATATATATACATATATATATATATGTATATATATATGTATATATATATATATATTATACACAACCTGTGGTACAGATATTATGCCATCGGAATCATGGCTGAATAGGAAAGCAGGCAGAATAATAAGAATAGAGCAACAAGAACTGTTTTTTTGTCTATTTTACCACTTACAGTTTTTGACATTTTTTCAGTTTGTTCTTTTTTAGTGGGAGGAAGAAGGGACACCGCAACAAACCGATGCACACGTCCGCCACTGACATCGATCTTGAGCCATGGCTTTCCAAGGTCTTCAACCAGCAAGCATCCGCATCTCTCGGACTCCAACCAGGTAGTCGACAACAACCGGCCGAGGCCAACTGTTTCGTCAGCTTTTTCATGCGGCTTCCCCAAGTTGTAGGCTGTCCACCAGACCGTCTCTTCCAGCCCTCTCCAGCAACCGCAAACAACGCACGACGGGGGTAACGCTGGACAGGCATGCGCAATACGTGTCCCAACCACCGCAGTTGATGCAGTGAGACGAGCTCCTCGAGCGAGTGGCTTCCACGTCCCAAGACACGCTGTCTAACTTCCACATTGCTTACGTAGTGCTGCCACCACACACGGGCAATGGACCGCAGACAGAGGTGCTCGAAGACGGATAGCCTGCGCAAGTCATCTTTACGAATGGGCCAGATCTCGCATCCGTACAACAGCACAGTACGAACAGTTGCACAATAGACCCGCCCTTTGGTGGAGAGATGAATGTCGTGGCGACGCCACAAATGCCTCAGCCTAGAAAAAGCGAGGCCTGCTATCGAGATGCGCATCGAAATCTCGTTTCCAACAGCCCCGCCAGCAGTGATGCAACTTCCCAAGTAGACAAAGCTCTCCACAACCTCTATCGTCTCACCAGCAAGAGTGAGTGCAGGCAGAGGCAGCTGCCAGTCTTGGAAGAGAGTCTTGCATTTGGATGGCGAAAAGTACATACCGTACTTTGATGCTTCAATCGCCAAGCGGTTTAATGCTAGTTAGACGACGTGTGGGTCGTCACCCAGCAAGACGATATCATCAGCATAATCCAAATCAACAACTCGATTACCTGGGAGGAGCTCAACGCCAGCATTCAACGAATTGCCTAGAGCGTTCTTTAAGACATCCTCGATGGCAAAGTTGAATAGGAACGGAGAGATAGGGCATCCTTGTCGAACTCCACTGGAGACCACAAAGGTAGGCGAAAGCTTGCCATAAGCCCTAACCCTGCCCGAGGTCAGACTATGGAGAGAGCGCAGTATGGAGACGAACTTCTCGGGGACACCATTCCTCAGTAGACAGTGCCACAGTACTGTACGATCGACAGGATCGAAAGCTGCACGGATATCCAGCCTGGGAAGTTGTATCAGCGCCCTTGGGATCGAAGACGAGATCACGAACCGGATAGCAAAAGCTGGAAGTGCTTTTGCTAACCTTTGCCACCTATGGCGGCGGCGCGACATTACTCTCACCCTGAAGCGCAGAATGTACAATGCAGCGGTACATTCGACCTTACTGTACGGTTGTGAAACCTGGCCCCTAAGATCGGCGGACATGAAGACGCTAGTTACGTTCGACCATCGGTGCCTTCGCAGTTTGGCTCACATCTGGTGGGAACACCGCGTGAGTAACGAGCGTGTTCGACGTCTTGTTTACGGCACACGAAAAGGAACTGAACCGCCTAGCACCGTTATTTCACGCACCAGGCTCCGATGGCTCGGCCACGTGTTGCGCATGCTAGTCCACCGACTCCCTCGACGTGCGTTGTTTGCTCACCGGGGATGTGGATGGAAAAAGAGGAGGGGTGGCCAAGCGATGACTTGGTCAAGAGGAATGAAGGCCCCTCACTTCGGTGCTGGCCTCGGTTGGAGCGTCACCGCTCCCTGGTTGGGGTCCAAAAGACGGTGAACACGTTTGGCTGCATACACTTGCTGACATGGCAAGGAGCCGACCTCAGTGACGTTCCTGCTGTGAGTTTCTTTGTCCCTCCCCATCCGTTTTAGCCTCCCCCTCTACCTATGATCTCATTTCTTGGCACAAAACATTATAATTTTTCCTTTTGCCTAGTAGCCGGCTGGTAGCTTACCGGAACGATGCCTTTCCGTTGTTGGTAGCTCAGCTGGCATGCAACTTTTGTATTTGGTTTCCTTTTTCATTTATGTATTGCGGCACAGTAGCTGAGGTGTTCCCCACCTCTAGCTGACGTGTATAATGATGATGATGATGATGGATCGAATAATCCGTTTAGATGGCAAACGCAACAACCCAAACTCGGGGAAACAGTGGACTCATGGGTTTGATACGCTTACTTATTTTTTGGACACTTTTGACTCATTGCTGTTCAGTACCTTGCGGAATTTGGCGAACTACATGTCTCCTGATGTATACGACTACATTAAAGGGTGCACAAGGTACGAACTCAAGATAGAAACTCTCATATCTGTAGAGATCAAAACGGAAAATGAAACCTTTACACGTCATGTCCTAGCCACTAGCAAGCAACATGTGGGCGACACTCTAGATAACTTCATGCAGCAGTTAAAATCAATGGCTCAGGATTGTAACTTCAAAACGGTCGCGGCGGAGAAGAACCGCGAAGACGCCATTCGAGATGTATTCATAACTAGGCTTCACTCTCAGTGCATACGTCAACGCTCTTGGATAATGTCGCTCGATTTACACACCGCATTTGAACAAGCACGATTTCTTGAGATGGCTCATCGTCAATCCCAGTTATACCAGTCATAAAACGCTTATGACGTATCTATCGTAGGTCATTCTGAACCTTTGCAAGTGTCAAGTGCCTCGCTAGTCCAAGGTAACAATGTTGCCGCTACCGTATCGAATAGCAAGTTTTTCCTCTGTGGGTTGAACAGACAAAGTCGATCTCAATGCCCTGCACGAGGCACCATTTGCAATGGTTCTGGTGAGAAAGGACATTACTAGAAAGTTTGTCGTTCCTCATCCAGAAATACTGTTTCAGTGCTCCATGGTTATCCATCCTCCAACACGGTCGCAGCGGCGCCAAACGGTCTCTCCCATGTCGTCATCGATGTGCTCATCAAGGTTCCTCTAAAATCTTTGATTGCTACTGGAAGCACTGAGAACTATATTGCCGCATCGGTTGTTAAGCGGTACAACCATAATATCCTCGGTTCTCATTGCGAGATTTCGATGGCTAGCACTCACTTAACAAGTTTCGCCAGCGAGCACTGGCTTGTCAATGTGCAATATAAATATCATCATTACACGGGCATTAAACTGTCCGTACTCCCAAACCTTTGTTCAGATCTACTCTTGAGGCACGAATTTTTTAACTCTCACCAATTGGTTCAAGTCCTTTGGTGAACAACCACCTCTCTCTCTCTGTGCATTATTGGCAGCCGATGTGGATTTTCCCTCCCTGTTTTGAAACGATGTTTCCACCTACAAACCGATCGCCATAAAATCGAGTCGCCAATCTACTGCGATCGAAGGGCTTATTTGTGTGGAAATACAAAAGCTTCTCAAAGATGGATTCATCGAACCATCGGTATTCTCTTTGCGAATGACTACGAACGAGACTCATAAAGGCCGCAGGGCTGCAGATTACAACCAAACTATCAACCAGTGCACACATCTAGATGTATATTCTGTGCCTAGAGTTGACGCCCTTATCGACAAGATCTCATGTTACTCGACGTACAGCATGTAGTGGACTGTTACCTAATAAGTTCAAGTCCGGAGGCAAAAGACAATCTTAAGCAAAAACTCACAATAGAAGAACAATCAAGTACACTTGCGTTATAGTTCTTTCTTCAGTTATCGTTAGTCCGATGCCGACTAGCGATTTGAATATAAATCCGACTACTGGAAAGATGTGGCGACAGCACAAGCACAGACAGCAGCAAACGAAACCAGCACGACGCGAGCGCGTTGAAGTAGTTGTATTCAAAATTTGTGAATTTAAACAAATGGTACAAAATGGTCGGTAACGGAAGTGATAAAAACAAAGATAAAATATAGTGTAATCACAACCGCTACAGAAGTGCCTCCCTAGAGCGTGCGCTGGTAAGCAACGCTCGATATAGCGTTCATGGAACATATTGTGCTAGTTTGGAGAGGAACGAAACAACACGATCTGAACGTGTGTTTGTTTGGGTACAGGGATTCCGAGATTTGGGAATCGGTCAGGCGTTTTTCAGTGGGCAACAGTCCAGGAACAGGAGTGCTGTGAGTGCTTGAATTTTATTTGGAATTAACTAAGTTTTGCTCGATATATGCGGGTTTAAGACGATCAATGCTCACTGAGTCCTTGGATCCATTCTTATCCAGAACGAAGTACTTCGGTTTCCGCGACAGGACCTTGAATGGACCTTCATATGGTGGCATCAAGGGTCTTGGAACAGCACCGATGCGGATAAAAAAGAATGGAGGACTGTGTAAATCCGTATATATACGCTGCACGCGCGTGCTTAATTGAGGTGTCGGTCTAGTGGAGCGAAAATGCTGCTTTAGACGTTCAGTATAGGACGTAGGACTCAATTCGCCGATGAGTCCTGAGTCAAGTACCATCTCGCCTGGGAGTGTGATGGTTGTGCCAAAGATAAGTTCGGCTGGACAGCATCCGATATCTTCTCTAACGGTATTGCGAATAGCATGAAGAATATCTAGGTGTTTAGACCAACCGGTATCAGGCGAATTAGCTGTAATGACGGCTTTCAGATGTCCATGCAATCGTTCGACAAGGCCATTGGCAGCAGGATGATAGTCGTCTAGAAGTGAACACAAGCAAGTAATCGACTGAAGTCACGAAAAAGGGTGGAACCGAGTTGAGATTTTCCGTCAATAGTGATAGTGGCTGGCACACCGAAGAAGGAAATCTACGATTCAACAAAAGCACGAGTAACGGTTTCAGACGTTATATCACTTAAAGGAGCAGCAAAGGGAAAACGAGTAAAACGATCAACACAGGTCAACAAATAAGTGAAACCGTTAGAATAAGGTAACAGTCCTACAACATCAAGATGAATGTGTCAGAATCGGGCTTCAGAAAGTGAAAAAGTATCAGGAGTAGTAACAGTGTGTCTGTGAACCTAGCTGATTTGACAACTAAAACAGGTCTTGACCCATTGTCGGAAAACAGTGTGCATTTGGGGTTTCATGGGTGTGTGCAGAACAAGCAAGCTTTGCTTTTCAGTGGCTCTGCCTCGAGGTGTTACCGAAGGGTCCTGTTGTTGTCGTAGGTTCCAAGCGTTGTAGATTGCGAATCGGTAGTGGTATGGCGCACAGGTATCCAGCGTATCGATTGTGGGTATGTGGCTACTTGGAAGGGAGGGACTAGTGTGCAGGTAAACGGTCAATGTTTGCGGTGTTATTGCTTTGTAAGTGATGGCATATACGTGGCAATACGGGGACATAGAAGTTAGACAGAGGGACAGTACGGTAAAGTTAAGTATGAGCTAAATACGAGGTATCGCGAACTAGTGTGTCAAAAGTAGTGACTTTAGCAGCTAGCTTGATGAATAGCCTAAATCTTTCAACATGAAAGGCCAGCGCGATAAGAGCCAAGCAAAGTATGTACTGAGACAACAGTTTCAGACAGGGCGGCCCAAACGAAGGCGATACACTCAGTGAAGCTGGTTCTTCGGCACTGAAGCCGACTACTACGAGTTAGGAGTTTGAGCGAACGCCCTCTTAGATGGTCTGTGCGGGTGCGTACGAGTAAGTCGTGCGCTACAAGAATGGGCAGTGGTAGGGCGGAAAAAGACCGCCGGCTGACCACCCGAAAACCCACTAACCGGAGATCCTGTTCACCGGCCGCTCGCCTACTTTTGAGGTCCTTGATGACCTCCCTTAGCTTCAGCCTATCGGCCAGCCGAATATCCGGCTGAACGCTAATATTTGTACCTTTCAGCTTAAACGCAAACTGCATGAGAGCGCTGCGTTTCTCCAGGGTAGAGAGTACCACACGAAGTAGCCGCGGTCGAGGGTTTGGTACGTTAACTGGGACGTTCCCCAGTCTAATCAGCTTCCTGACAGTAACGCTTGGAAAACCAGGCGGAAGAAGCTACATTACGCAAATTTTAAACCATTGAAGGTCTCCAACATGCGATCAGCAAGAAGGACAGCAGTGGATCCAGCCGTGTTACGGAATCTAACGCTAGTATTCGTGAAAGAATTGCCACGACGGGGTGTATTAACCCCACGGGTCTTTGATTCGATACTTGGAGCAGGTGGCGTCACCACTGGTGATGGGACTGTCTTTAGCCCCTCCGATGAGGTAGCAACGGCAGCGTTTTCTGCTCCATTGTCGATGTCTTACTTTTGTTAGGGTCATCGATTTCACCGAAAGGCTTTATGACAGATTTGGTCCGCTTTTTCTTCTTGATAACGGGAGCAGGGTCCCGTGAGGATATTTCACTTTGAGCAAAAGCAGGCAAACTTTCAGAACATGCCTTCCCGGCATGCCGGAAACTTCGGCTGACAAGCAGTACGTGTTGGAATCTTCGCCTCCGCACAACCGTCAGACGGTTTGCCAAGTAACGACACTTGGCTTGTTTCCGGTGCCGAGGCA